GATTTACTGAAGCTTATGCTTAGGTGAAGCTGAGGGCAAATAAGTCCAGCTGGATTACACAAGAATAGCAGACAATTCCAGTGTTGCGTCTTGCAGCCTGCAACTGTGCACAACAATTATGCCCTTGTTTTTTCGTCTTCAAGATCTCAGAGGAGCAAAGGCTGACTTCATTCCCACTCATCCATTCTACCCTGTTCTTGCTCACTTCATGAAACTTATTCGCCCTCAGCTTTACCTACGCATCACTTTCATAAACAGGAAAGTCTGATGACAGGTTTTTGTGGAATTTTACCTAAGCATCAGTTTCATAAAAAGGGAAGTCCCAGGAACACACTTCCTAGTCCTTTCCGTTCTTCACCGTTCCCCTCTCCCCTCAAATGTACGTTACTTAGTCAATCGGCGAAGTATCTACGCCAGTTAGTCCTTATATCCACCCATCCTAGCCCTCCTCCCCTGTCTCGAACGAAACCCGCCACATACCACCCTCAATTCCACCTGCAACATTCACACTGCCGCCATCCGCCGTGAGGCAGCCCTACCTGCCGTCGGGAGGAAAAATTTTTTGCGGCTTTTGTATGAGATGAGCCGAGCCGAGTTTTTGTAACTGCCCCCGTTTTGCTTTGTGTAAGAGGCGAGGTCACTCGGAAGTGTTCTGCCTCTTACAGAATGCGAAAACGGGAGAGGCTTTGAGATCGAATATGAAGGAAGTTTTACAGCAGCCACCCGCGATGTAATCGACAGCTCCATTCCTCGAGAGCTGCTTACAAGCAAGCTGACGACGGTTTCATCGTAGTAATTTTGTTAAAATTATTCGGCGGAACTAAATGTTTAACAGTTCTGCTTCATCGAATTTCTGGTTTGATCCACTAGAGCTTACTAAGTCAGACTAGACTGCGTTATTTATTATGTCTGATCAAGTGCTCAATATTTTTACGCTTAGGCGTACAGAGGAAACCAAGGGCATGTCGTTTGCTTGTAAAGTAGGACGTCAAGAACTATGCCAGCGACAAGTATTCTAGCAGACACTTCCGATTATCTCAAACACTGTTATTATCACAGGTGCTCACAATCGCTGAGTGCGCTTGAATTGTCGGTGACACGAAACACTACAAAAAGCGTGTTGACAAACTGGCGAATTCACTTGCTGCTTTTATGGTGTAGGAGCTATTAGTGGGGTAATGAGACGTTCCGACTTTTATTCCTCTTGAACAATGGGTTGCTCGCATACCTATGTGATCCTCAAAAGATACAGCTTCATGAGTTTGGTTTGGTACTTTGCAGGATGATATGGGTTTTGAGACTGACTGACTGACTTCTTGGCCACAGCTGGTGCAGCAACTCAAAGGCAACTGTGTCTGACTTGTAAATAAGGTATTGCAGTATAACATTACTGGATATTTAGCTTCTCATCGCCGTATAATGCCTTTCGCTGCTTTGTGCTCGCAGCATTTCCGCTGCCTGTAATGCGTATATGTATATAATGGTTCTCAGCAAGTCTTTTCACATGCCATCAACAACAAATGGTCAGGCGTACCGGCAGCTCACTTCCTATACAGTCCGTTCTTTGGGTGCGATTGAGCCAGGTTGCCAAAAATATGCACTACGTTCCAGTTCGGACTGCATCACAGGCTTCATTTAACAGACACTTCTCATACTAAACTCATCCGTTTACGCACCTCGGCATGGAATTCCAATTTCACACTCTCGTCCAAAACTGAATTACTTTCTCTTAGCCCTCACCGTTGAAAGAAGAAGATCCGATTTACAAGCGTACTTCCAGCTTTTCCGCTCTTACTTTAAAC